CCCTGTGACTGGGAGTGGAACCCGGACCCTGTGACTGGGAGCAGAACCCGGACCCCGGCCCAGTGACTGGGAGCAGAACCCGGACCCTGTGACTGGGAGCGGAACCTGGACCCTGTGACTGGGAGCAGAACCCGGACCCTGTGACTGGGAGCGAAACCTGGACCCTGTGACTGAGAGCAGAACCCGGACCCTGTGACTGGGAGCAGAACCCGGACCCCGGCCCAGTGATTGGGAGCAGAACCCGGACCCTGTGACTGGGAGCAGAACCCGGACCCTGTGACTGGGAGCAGAACCCGGACCCTGTGACTGGGAGCAGAACCCGGACCCTGTGACTGGGAGTGGAACCCGGACCCTGTGACTGGGAGTGGAACCTGGACCCCGGCCCAGCGAATGGGAGTGGAACCCGCACCCTGTGACTGGGAGCGGAACCCAGGACTCCGGACCCAGCGACTCGGAGAGGAACCCGGACCCTGCAACTGGGAGCGGAACCCGGACCCTGTGACTGGGAGTGGAACCTGGACCCCGGCCCAGCGAATGGGAGTGGAACCCGGACCCNGGAACCCGGACCCTGTGACTGGGAGTGGAACCTGGACCCCGGCCCAGCGAATGGGAGTGGAACCCGGACCCAGCGACTCGGAGAGGAACCCGGACCCTGCAACTTGGAGCGGAACCCGGACCCAGCTACTGGGAGCGGAACCCGGACCCAGCGACTGGGAGCGGAACCCGGACCCAGCGACGGGGATCGGAACCCGGACCCAGCGACTGGGAGGGGAACCCGGACCCAGCGACTGGGAGCGGAACCCGGACCCAGCGACTGGGAGCGGAACCCGGACCCTGCGACTGGAAGCGGAACCCGGACCCTGCGACTGGAAGCGGAACCCGGACCCTGTGACTGGAAGCAGAACCCGGACCCTGCGACTGGGAGCGGAACTCGGACCCTGTGACTGGGAGCGGAACCCGGACCCTGTGACTGGGAGCGGAACCCGGACCCCGGCCCAGTTACTGGGAGCAGAACCCGGACCCTGTGACTGGGAGCGGAACCCGGACCCTGCGACTGGGAGCGGAACCCGGACCCTGTGACTGGGAGCGGAACCCGGACCCC